TTGTTTGTTCCCTTAACCCTGACTGTACTTCTGAAAGTAGTCCCTTCATGTGTCCTTTTATTTAACTCATCTGGAGTTTAAAGAGCTGGTAGTACCCCTTTTTGTCTAGTCAACAAGTATCTATTCCCTTATTTTATTCATTGTTTACCTTTATCTTCTAGAACAGTGCCTTGCATATAGCAGGCATACAATAAATATTTGCTAAGTAGTGGGCAAAGAGCATACTTTTTCTTTTAAATTTTTTTTTTCAACGTTTATTTATTTTTGGGACAGAGAGAGACAGAGCATGAACGGGGGAGGGGCAGAGAGAGAGGGAGACACAGAATCGGAAACAGGCTCCAGGCTCTGAGCCATCAGCCCAGAGCCCGACGCGGGGCTCGAACTCACGGACCGCGAGATCGTGACCTGGCTGAAGTCGGACGCTTAACCGACTGCGCCACCCAGGCGCCCCGAGCATACTTTTTCAAGATCTCATAGAAGACTCGTATCCATAGATCATATACTAGGCCTCGGTGACAATGCAATATTATTTTCAAAGCAAAACTTGCATTTTTTAAACTACAAATTAAAAAAATGTTAGAATTTAAAATGGGAGACTTTGAACTCTGGGTCCTGCTGGAGAAATGGGATCTGGGGCTCACTGTAGGTCTTTCACTCAAGGGTTGGTCCAGTTTGCTGATATGGTCAAAATGCTGATTAAAATCCTTGCTTCATAAAACTGAAATTGAAAATAATCCTACGATAACCAAATCTTTATATTACATAAAATGATGGTGCATGTTTTTAAAATGCTGTTCGTAATATACATCACTCCACTTCAAAGAGGATATCATGAGTAAGAGAAAATCCAGAAAAAGTAAGAGAATGATTACAGGATAGCATAAGGACATGGTGTATGGGGAAAGGCTAACTGAAGATTCTTCAGTCTGGAAAAATAATGGTTAAAGGAAACATGAAAAAAAAAAATCACAAATGGCATAGATGAAATCAATACAGATTTAGTCATTTGATTCTAAAATAGTGAGGAGACACAATTTGCAACCGGGATGTAGTCATTTTAGAACTAACATAAGGAAGTAGATTCATAAAACATTAAGTGCCAGATGGGATTTAAAGACTATCTGGTTGAGTTTCTTTGTATTACAAATAAAGAATGGATTTCACCAAATGGTGCTAGGAAAACTGGATTTCCACACGCAAGAGAATGAAGTTGGACCCTACCACACCATACACAAAAACAACTCAAAAATGGATCAAAGACCTAAACATAAGAGATAAAACTATAAAATTCTTACAAGAAAACATAGGGGAAATTTTTCATGACATTGGATTTGTTAATGATTTTTTGGATATAACACCAACAGCATAGGAAACGAAAGAAAAACGAGAGAAATTGGACTCCCCCAGAATTAAAAACAGTGCGTCAAAGGACACGATCAATAGTATGAAAAGGCAACCCACGGAATGGGAGAACATGTTTGCAAACCATACATCTGATAAGGAGTTAATATCCCGAGTATAGAAAGAACTCCTACAACTCAATAACAACCTGGTTAAAAAAAAAAAGGCGGGGGGGGGGGGGGGGGGGCAAAGGATTTAAATAGACCTTTCTCCAAAGAAAATAAGCACATGGAAAAAAAAGCTCAACGTCACTGATCATTAGAGAAATACAAATTAAAACACAGTGAGACACCACTTCACACACATGAGTATGGCTACTAACTAACTAACTAACTAAATAAATAAAACAGCAAGTGTGGGTGAGAATGTGGAGAATTGGAACGCTTGTGCCCTGTTGGCGGGCGTGTAACATGGGTGCAGCTGCTGTGGAAAACAGTATGCAGTTCCTCAACATATTTAACACAGAATTACCATATGATCCAGCAATTCCAGTCATGAGTATATACCCAAAATAACGGAAAGCAGGGACTTGAAAAGCTATTTGTATATGTATGTTCATAGCAGCATCATTCACAATAGCCAAGCAGTAGAAGAAACCCAAGTGTCCATTAACAGATGAACAGGTCAACAAAATGTGATGTATACATACAGAATACTATGTAGCCTTAAAAGGGAAGGAAGTTCTTTTTTTTTAATTTTTTTTTTTTACATTTATTCATTTTTGAGAGACAGAGCACAAGCAGGGGAGGGGCAGAGAGAGAGAGGGAGACACAGAATCCGAAGCGGGTTCCAGGCTCCCAGCTGTCAGCACAGAGCCCGACGCGGGGCTCGAACTCACAAACCACGAGATCATGACCTGAGCCGAAGTCCGATGCACAACCGACTGAGCCACCCAGGCGCCCCGAAGGGGAAGGAAGTTCTGATGCATGCTGGAACATGGAGGAACCTGAGATGGGTCACGCAGAGTGAAATAAGCCAGTCACCAAAGGACACATATTTTACAGTTCCACTTGTATCAGTACTTAGAATAGTCAAAATCACAGAAACAGAAAGGGTGGTGGTTGGCGGGGACTACAGGGAGGGAGAAGTGGGGAGTTCTTGTTTCATAGTACAAGCTGTCTGTTCTGCAAGACGAAAAGAGCTCTGGAGATGGATGGTGGAGACGGCGGCCCAACAGCGTGAATGTACTTAATACCGCTGAGCTTAAAAATAGTTAAGACGCTAAATTTAACATTATGTATATCTTGCTACCATTTTTTTTTTTTAAAGAGTAGAACTCATTTCCTTTCCTTTAATCAAAACCAGCTTCTCTTCTTGAGTTCCCCATTTCTGTGAATGGCACCATTCTACTCCCAGCTGTCCTAGCCAGAAACCTGGTCTTGTCCTTGACATCACCTTCTTCCTCCTCCAACCCACGTGGTCACTCATCGAACACTTATGGACCCTCCCGATGTGCCGAGCACTGTCATGGGGGTTCTCCTTGCAAATGTCTGTTTCAGGAAACTTTCACCTTCCACCTAGATGACCACAGCAGTCCTCTTCCTGGTCTTTCTGGGTCCGGTCCAGCACACTTCGAATCTCTCCCCCGCTTTGCAGCAAGAGAGCTCTTTCTTTTAAAAGTGAGCATCTGCAATGGTCCCCCACCTTTCTAAGCCACTTCAATGGCTCTTTGTTGCCTTCAAAATAAGGTCCAAAGTCCTTCCTTGGCTTATATCGCGTATTAGCATCTGGCTCCTCATTACTTCCACAGCCATCACTTTCAATTTTCTGCTGCATTCTATTCACCAGCCGTTCTGAAAACTTTCAGTTCTAGAATTTACCATGCTCTGTCCCTCCTCTGGCCATTATACCCTGTTCCTTCTCCTTTAGAGCACTGGTGATCCTTCCCCATCCCACCAGGACCTTCTTTGCCCAGACAATTTCTATTATTTACTTTATGTCCTGGCTGGTAAATTACTCATGTCGGGAAAACCTATCTGATCCAACCTGACTTTAGGTGGCCCTCCCAGGTGATCCTGTCCTTCCACCATCAAGCACAGTGTGATCATCTGCTTCCTTGCCCCTTCTGGGTTTATTGACCCAAAGTGGGGGGCTCGATAAATAATTAGTAAATGAATTAGTAAATAGGTCCAGAGAGGCTGTGGTTCATTCATAGTTACAACTTAGGTCATCGCACTGCAGGTAGCGGGACCAGTGGTAAAACTAGACCACCAGGGACTCCCCACCCAGGGATCTTCCCACTGCTACGTCACACGATGGGTCATAAATTCATGAAACTCACTATCCCAAGAGGGGCTGTGACCGGCTTTAAATGGTCCAACCACACAAAAGAGAAGTCGCAAAAATTTTGGCTTTGATATCGTCTGTCTCTTGCCATCGTCCTCTCTTTCGGTCTCAGACAGCTAAGAAGACCTGGGATAGCTGGAAAACAGAACTGACCAGGCGCAATAAGGTCGAAGTTCCATTTGATAGAACACCGAGCCAAGCCACTTTTGCCGATATTAAAAACCTTGATTTTACAACCTGTCTAGATTTGGCATTCATAACGCAACGCACAAGTCCCCTCTGTATCAACTCCATACTGGACGGTGACATTCGGCTTACTGCTGTAAAACTCTGCCTTGAAGAACTCAGTATGGATTGAAAAGGAAGTGGGTCCCATAATATACACATAGGCATATATGTGTACAGATGTGGGTGTCTGTGTTTAGAAACAAATCATTTAAACTAGTCAAAACTGTCATCATTTAGAAGAGGAGTGATGTGGAAGGAGGAAAATAAAATCACATCTTTTATTAAATAAAATACTCCAAATATACATAAATTAAAACTATAATTTCATCTTCAGTGCTTGTGGTGTAATTAATCTCTCATATTTTACAGATTTATGCCAACATAGCTTGCCACTGAAATGAAAATTGTATTATGTATACAGTGTGAGCATATTATTTTTCCCAGCCATATCACATGGCTATATCACTGCCTGTCTCCAGCCGAAGTTGAAATTACTGTACAGATACCATTCTGAATGTGGGTATATTGAAACAACGTTTTTCAGGATCACAAGCAAGGCATGGATTCTGTAAAATTGCAGAATCAAGGGGAAATAAAGGCTTAACTTAGGAATGAATTGCTTTAAAAAAAAGATTCATAATTAAATCATATCGAGTTAATTATGTCCCTGACAAAGCAATTTCTACTTTTACTAATTGGCATTGAGATGAATCTTGACCTTAAATAGTAAGCACTATTCTCCAACGCTCATTTAAAAGCCGACAAATACTGGGGTGCCCGGTTGGCTCAGTTGGTTAGGCGTCCCACTCTTGATTTCGGCTCAGGTCATGATCTCATAGTTCATGAGATCAAGCCCCGCGTCGGGCTCTGTGCTGACAGCACGGAGCCTCCTTGGGATTCTTTCTCTCCCTCTCTGCCTCTCCCCTACACGTGCACGCACGCACACGTTCTCCCTCTCTCTCACAAGAAATAAACTTTAAAAATTAATTAAAAGCAGACAAATACTCTAGTGCTTGTTAGTACTAATCAAAATCAAGAATACAAGAGGAAGCATGTGTGCTTAGTTTATATAAAATGAGACATACGATCATAAGCTGCTTTAGTAATTGCTTTTGCTGCATTCTTCTGAATATCAGGAATTGTAGAATTTTCTGCAAAGGACAGGAGCTTCTTAAGACCCCCGGTCTGCTGAATCAGCACCAAAGTATCCATATCTTCAAGGCAATTGGCTATCACGGAAAGAGCTTCTATATGAAGGTCATTCAATTCCTAATAATAAAAGCAAATACAACTTCAGAAAATTGTAGTGAAAGAAATTGACACTTCCCAAATTTTACTACAAGACGAAGGTCAGTCAGAACATAACCTTGTTAACGTTGTTGTGACAGATGCCCAAGGAAACAGTTCTGTTTAATTATCATAACATCACTCTCCCTCACAGTTTGCCCCATCTCTTCTTGTTCCCCTGCTCCAAAATGTTTCACAGATACAGGATCATTTTTTCACAGATAAAGACGCTTGAAGCAATAGTAGCCAAGTGAAGTTGTTCATACAACCTCGTACCGCCAACGATTTTAAAATCCGAAGAAAATATTCTTTGAAAAAGCAGACAGGAGCTGATGGAAAGCATATTACCTAAAATCTCCAGCTGGTAGAGGGAGGTGTTGGAAGTCTGTGACTTCTTGCCTCCACTATCATGGGCTCCAACACAGCAATGCTTCTGGTCAAGGAGCTCTCTTCACAGCAAACCAAGGGTGACAGTGGGTCCATGCCCATATCCCACCATCCCGAAGCAGCTGGCTCAACAGAGTGGCCTTTTGAAGACAGTTACGGTGCCAGTGAAGTGGGTGGCAATACCTGGCAGGGCCGGGGCAAGGTTCTCCACTTTATATACGTTCTGAATCAGTGGCCAATATACGGTGCTGGATCTCCCATAGCCGGTGATGGTGGGTCCAGGAATCAGGGGGTGGAAACAGGTGTGGTAGCATTGTTACCCCCTAGTGGCCCATTAGCGATATCTTTGCTTGCTCTCTCCCAGAACTCATGCTCTGTTGGCCTAGAGGTCTTAGTTCCAAAGGAGAGAATGCTTCCACCAAGAGGCACGACAATGATTCCACTGGACTAGAAGTTAAAACTTCCCCCAGCCACTTTGGCCTCCACATAAGCAGGCAATGAAGGACGTTACTGTGCTGCTAGGGTGGCTGATCCCAACTACCAAGGGGAAACTGGACTGCTACTCCACACCAGAGTGTATCCGGAATACAGGAAGAAGAGTATATCTGGAATACAGGAAGTCCTTCGGGTATCTCTTAGTATTACCATGCTCTGTGAATAAGGTTGAAAGAAAACTACAATAACCTAATCCAAGCAGGCCTCCTGAATGGCCCAGACCCTCAGGTATGAAGATATGGATCACCCCACCGGGTGAAGAACCACATCCGGTTGAAGTCCTTGCTGAAAGAAAAGGAAATGTGGAATGGGTATTGGAGGAAGATAGTTATCCATACCAACTACCACCATGTGGCCACTTGTAGACAAGAGGGTTATAACCGCCATGAGTATTTCTTCCTTATTTTGTTATGAGTGTGTGTGTGTGTGTGTGTGTGTGTGTGTGTGTCTGTGAAATAGTGTGGGTATTTTTTCCCTCTCTTATCCCCTCAGGCAACATAAGATGTATTGACTTTACAAGTTAGTAGTTATTCTTAATTTTACTTCATAGTATTTAAGTTACAGGATATCAAGGAGAAGACTAAATATCCCCCAAGGACATTGCATCCTCTTCTGGGGAAAGGGTTAGTATATTCTAGTTGTACACAGGATAGTTACATCATGCTAGGCATGCAAGGACCTTGCTATTGCCTTGATTTTGAGATTAAGTAGGATTTAAGGAGATATGTAGGGATGCCAAATTGACTCGTGATGATTAATTTTCACGTTTTAACTTGGCTAGGCCACGGTATCCAGATATTTGGTTAAACATTATTCTAGATGTTTCCATGAAGGTATTTCTCTAGATGAACATACTATATAAATCAGTAGACTAAGTAAAGCAGATGATTCTCCCCAATGGGGATTAAATAACCCTTCCTGCTTTATCCTAGAGAAAACTATGGCTGATAAAGCCTAAAACTAATTCTAGGTATTTCAGGAAATCATGAAGAAGATCCTAAACAAGAATTTAAAAATCTTAAATTTCTAAACCAGAAGAATAAAATTATTTTATTTTTTAAATTTTAATTTATTTAGAGAGCAAGTAAAGGAGGGGCAGAGAGAGAAGGAGACAGAATCCCCAGCAGGCTTTGCACCGTCAGCATGGAGCCCGATGCGGGTCTTGAACTCACAAACCGTGAGATCCTGACCTGAGCTGAAGCCAAGAGTCAGACGCTTAACCAATGAGCCACCCAGGTGCCCCTCAAAAAAAGTCTTTTTTTTTTTTTTTTAAACAGTTTGGCTGCTTCTTTTTTTTTTTTAATTTTTTTTTTAACGTTTATTTATTTTTGAGACAGAGAGAGACAGAGCATGAACAGGGGAGGGGCAGAGAGAGAGGGAGACACAGAATCTGAAACAGGCTCCAGGCTCTGAGCGGTCCGCACAGAGCCCGACGCGGGGCTCGAACTCACGGACTGTGAGATCATGACCTGAGCCGAAGTCGGCCGCTTAACCGACTGAGCCACCCAGGCGCCCCCAAAAAAGTCTTTTATAATGGCCTCTATCATTAATCTGATTTAATCATGTGATAAACAATGTAGCGATAAACAAATTAATCCATTTTACTGAACACTATGCTTAAATATAATAAAATTTTATTTTAAAAAGCATTCTACATTCGGATTTTATAGCAACATGTAGGAGAGACACATTTCCTCATAGAAAGTTGAATGAAAGTTTCAAATACCTTAGTTTCTAGGATTTTAATAAGGTGGTCCACTCCTTGATTGTCTCTCAGCGTTGTTCGTGCCTCCTTATCATTTGTAATAATACCTAAGGTTTTGAGAGCCAACAACTGAATAACTGGATATTCTGACTTCAAGAGATCCAATATAGGGGGGATTGCATTTAGTTCTTGAAGTGCAGCTCGACACTGAAAATCCTGCCATGAGATACAAATGATCAAATAAGTAAAATTTAAAGCAAAATACAGTCAGTCACAAGAATGGAGAACCTCTATGGTCTAACAAAGGACATTGTAAGTTTTATATTTCCCATCTTTTATTCCAGATTCCCTTCCAAAGTCACTCACACAGTAAGTAAGAAAAACCCTCCATCGACAACACCTAAATATTCATTTTAACTATGCAGACATTGTCAATAACAGGAAGTAGATGTGATCTATGGTTTTTGCAGTACCTATTGTTTCTTTATTATCCAGCAAAGTCCTTTCGTTACTAACAGCACTACACTAAATCTGCGCATAATCAAATTCTTTTCACACTCTACACCCTGTTTCAAATAGTATTTGATAAAATGAAATGATGCCATCAATTCCTTATTATCTTCATCCAAATGGATTATTTATGAAACGCTTACATGCACACAGTGCTGCTGGCAGGCCCTGTGCACGCAAATTTATACCAGGTTGAGTTCAGACACACGACCTTTATACAAGACGTTTATAATATCAAGGGGTCGTTAGAGTCTCGGTGAGTCGCTCTCCCCTGTGTGTCTGCAATTCTGTGTATGTGAGTGGTGGGGAGAGGGCTAGTTGGGGTGAGCAGTGGAGAAAACCAAGCAAAAAGTCATGAAAAGCCCCCAAACTCTGACTACTAATCGTGACACTTAAAATCAAAATATCATAAATGTCAAATAGTATTAAGGTGGAAAAGGTCCCATTAACAGCTTAGCTTTTCTCTATCCATCCTTCAGTGCATGCTTCCTACAGGCATAAAAACTGTAGAAAGTTGTTTGCTGCGGGTTGAATTGTGTCCCCCCAAAATGTATGTTGAATTCCTAACCCTCGGTATCTCAAAACATGACCTTATGTAGAAACAGGGTCAGTAGAGATGTTATTAGTTAAGATAATGTCATAGTGGAGCAGGGTAGGTACTTAATGGTGTCCTTAGAGGACTGGGGTCTTTAAAAGAAGAGGAAGCATGGGGTGCCCTGGTGGCTCAGCTGGTTGAGTGTCCGATGTTGGCTCAGGTCATGATCTCAGTTTGTGAGTTCGAGCCCCGCGTTGGGACTCAGAGCCTGCAGCCTGCTTCGGATTCTGTGTCTCCCTCTCTCTCTGCCCCTCCCCTGCTCACTCCCTGTCTCACTCTCTCTCAAAAAGAAATAAAC